TGTAAAAGACTTGCCTCAATGAAATTTTGATCCATGTAATTATATGTCAGTTGTTAATACTTCTCAGTTTAAGTTCAAGGAAATAACATTTAATGATCTCAGACAAATTATTTCTTTAATAAAAAATAGTAATAGTAAAGACGCCTATGATATAAATGCAAAAATGATAAAAGTTTTAACTAATGTAATAATAATTCCACTAACAAAGCTTATAAATCTATGCTTACGAGAATGTGTATATCCGGGTGTTTTAAAACTCGGAAAAATAATTCCTGTTTTCAAAAAAGGTACGGATAATCTAAAAAATTATCGTCCAATATCCATAATTCCAACAATTAGTAAAATATTTGAAATAATTCTCAAAAATCAAATAAATAATTACTTTGAACAAAACATGTTATACTGTCATAATCAGTATGGATTTAGGAAGAACCACTCAACTACAATGGCAGTCAATAAAGTAGCGGAAATTGTGTTCAACGCATTTAGTAAGAAAGAACATGCCTATGCAATATGCCTTGATCTAACTAAAGCATTCGAATGTGTCGCACATGATTTACTGTTAAAAAAACTGGAACTTTATGGATTCGATAGTTCAAGTCTTTTATTGTTAAAATCATATTTTACAAATCGGTACCAGTATGTAAATTATAAAAATGCAAACTCAACACGACAATTAATAAGATATGGTGTTCCTCAAGGTTCTGTCTTGGGTCCCATCCTATTCCTAATATTCATCAATGATTTACCAAGCAGTTCTTTCATGACGAACTTTATTTTGTTTGCAGACGATACGACACTAGCGGGTAGTAATCAGGATGTAAAGAAATTAATAAACGAAATTACTCAAGCAGAGAATGAAATCAATACTTGGTTCTTGTCCAATAAATTGTGTAGGAATGAGAGTAAGACTCAAAGATTATATTTTTCTTTACGAGAGCTGGATACTGTTGAGGAAACAATTAATATGCTAGGGATAATATTGGATAAAAAAATGACTTTTGAACAACATATTGTTAAGTTAAGCAAATCAGTATCAAAAAGAATCTACACACTTCGCAGGCTACGACTAGTTGTGTCTGAAAAAACATTAAGAGCAGCTTATTTTGGATATATTCATAACTGTTTATCATATGCAATTTTAGTATGGGGTCATTCTCATCATTTCTTAAAATTATTTGCTATCCAAAGAAAATGTATTCGCATTATAGCCGGGTTAAATTATAGAGATGACTGTAAATTTAAGTTTACGGATATGTGAAACATTTTTTGTAATGATTATCACGAAATATATTATTATTATTATTATTATTATTATTTTGAATTTCTAAATTACAAACGAAACTATAAAATGTCAGTTAGGAGTATTTGTAAAAATGTTATAAAACAAATTCTATATATTAACAGGAAGTGAATTTAGAGTTCGGATTTTTCTACCGTATTTTGCATATTTTTCAATATAGTGTGGTTTGAAGTTTAATTTGTAGTTATTCAAAATTAACAGAACAAAAAATCGCGGAGAAATACCATAGACTTGAATTTCATCCTAGACATCAATGGAAAAAAAATAGAATTGTAAATAAATAATTTTTCGAATGTTCTACCTTTTGGGTTTTTCAGATTTCGATTTCGCAATTTTTAGATATTTCAGTTTTGGTTTTTTTTTTCATTTTTCGATTTTTTAGTTTTGGATTTTTCGTTTTTTCGATGTTTCCAACTTTCAGTTCTTCGATTTTTCAATTTTTTGAGCTTTAAGATTTGGGTTTTTCAGTTTTTTAATGTTTGTCGACGTTTCGAGTTTTTGACTTCTCGGTTTTAGATTTTTAGAATATTTGATTTTTCAATTTTTCTATTTGTCGGTTTATCATTTTTGTTTGTTCAGTTTCTCGATTTTTCAATTTTTCAGTTTTTCGAATTGTTCGTTTTGTTGGTTGTAAATTTTTCAGCTTTTAACTTTTCGTGTTTGGAGTTCTGGTCATTTTGATTTCTCAATATTTCAATTTTTCGACTTCTTGGTGTTTCGTTTTCCGTTTCTCGATTTCCCAGATTTTCGTCATTTCATTTTTGGAATTGATCTATTTCTTTTTCTTCTTTCTCAGTCTTTCGATTCATCTGATATCGGATTTTCCATTTTTGCGATTTTTTAAATTTTGGATTTTCGTTTTCTTGGTTTTTTGATTTTTCGACTTTTCGATGTTTCGATTTCTCGATTTTTAAATTTTTCATTTATTTGATGTTTCGATTTCTGAATTTTTCAAGTTTTCGATTCTTCAGTTTTTCGATATATTAATTTCTTAATTTTTTAGATTTAAATTTTTCAATTTTTTAATGCTTTGATAGGCCTCTTTCAATTTTAAGAATTTTTCAGTTTTTGATATTTCAGTGTTTTGGTTTTCCAAAGTTTCGATTTTTAGTATTTTAATTTTTCGATTTTTCAAATTTTAGATTTTTGGATTTTTCCATACCTCGATATTTCTATTTTTCAGGTTTTGGAATTTTTTAATTTTGGTTGTTCAGTTTTTTGGTTTTTCAATCTTTAGATTTTTTAAATTATTGATTTCCCGATTTTTCGATTTCTCGATGTTTCAGATTTTGAATTTTCACTTTTTCAATTTTTCGAGACTTCCCGGCTTTTCGATTTGCCAATTTTTCGATTTCCCACTTTTTCGATTTTTTTTAAATTTCACATTTTTCGATGTTTCAATATTTCGATTTTACGAATTTTTAATGTTTAAAATTCTTGAGATCTCAATTATTCGAATATCAAAATTTTTCGACTTTTCGATTTTTAGATTTCTTGATTTCTCAAACTTTTGATGCTTCGAATTCTCGATATTTCATTTTGGAACTTTTCCATGTTTCAATTTCTCGAGTTTTGAACTTTTCACTTTTGAAATTTTTTAGTTACTCGTTTTTCAGTTTTTCCATTCGTCAATTTTCCGATTTTCTAATTTTTGCGATTTTTTTAAATTCTGGATTTTCGATTTTTCAATTTTTCTATTTTTAAATTTTAGATTTTTGAATTTTTCAATTTCTCGAAGTTTCGATTTTTAGTATTTCAATATTTCTAGTTTTCAAATTTTTCAGTTTTCAACTTTTCGTGTTTGGAGTTTTGGCCATTTCGATTTCTCAATTGTTTTTATTTTTCGACTTTTCGTTTTTTCGATTTCTCGATGTTTCAGTTTTTGAATTTCCAATGTTTCGTTTTTTCGGTTTTTCATTTTTGAGATCTTTCGGTGTTTCGGTTTTCCAATTTTTTGATGTTTCGATTTCTATTTTTCGATCTTCCGATTTGTTTTTCTGTTTCAGTTTTTCGATTCATCAATTATCCGATTTTCCAATTTTTGCGATTTTTTAAATTTTGGTTTTTCGATTTCTTGCTTTTTCGATTTTTCAATTTTCCGATTTTTCAGTGCTTCGGTATTTCAATTTTTCGTTTTTTTTTTCAATTTTTCGATTTTTCAGTTTTCGACTTTTTGATTTTTAGATTTTTCGATTTCTCGATATTTCAGTTTTTGAATTTTTCAAAGTCTCGATACTCGGTTTGTCGAGTTTTGGACTTTTCGGATTTTCAGTTTCTCGATTTTTTAGTTTTTTGCTTCCTAATTTTCCGATTTTCCAGTTTGTGAGATTTTTTAAATTTTGGATTTTCGATTTCTCGGTTTTTCAACTTTTTTTATTTTATATTTTTCGATTTTCCGGTGTCTCGATATTTCTAATTTTCAATTTTTGGAAAGTTTTACATTTTGATTGTTCAGTTTTTTGATTTTTCAATGTTTCGCTTTTTTAAATTATTCATTTTTTCGATCTGTTGATGTTTCGATTTTTTGAGACTTTTCTTCTCTTCGATTTCCAAATTTTTCGTCGTTTCAATTTTTTTTTTGATTTTTTAGATTTTTGATTCTTCAATTATCCGATTTTCCAATTTCTCGGTTTTTCGATTTTTCAACTTTTCGATGTTTCAGTTATTTTATTGTCAAATTTTAGATTTTTGACATTTTAGACTTTTTTATATTTGGATTTTCAGTTTTTCATTTGTTATATTATGTATTTTATTTATTATACATATATTTTGATTTTTCGATATATTAATTCTCCAGTTTTTAAAATTTCAGATTTTCCGATTTCTCGATTCGATTTTTCAGTGCTTCGATATTTCTATTTTTTAATTTTTGATTGTTCAGTTTTTTGGTTTTTCGATATTTTAAATTTTACATTTTTCGATATTACGATTTTTTGATGTTTCAATTTTTTGTTTATTTTTTGAATTTTTGATGTTTCGATTTCTCGGTTTTTCTTAAGTTTTCAGTTTTTATATTTTAAATTTTCGGTTTCTCGATTTCCCGATTTTTCCATTTTTTCATTTATTCGATTTTACTTTTTTTTTATTTCGATTTTTTCTTTTATGTATCGATTCCCTGTCATCTCGGTTATTCGATTTTAAAATTTGTCCACATTTTGATTTTTAGATTTCTCGGTTTTTTAAGTTTTCGATTTTTAATTTTTCAACATTTCAATTTTGGGAATTTCCTAGTTTCTCAATTTTTTGATGTTTCAATTGCTCGTTCTTTCCATTTTTTAGATTTTTGTGATTTCTCAGTTTCTCGATTTATCGATGTTCCTACACATATTTCAATTTTGCTATTGTTTGATCTTTCGATATTTCGATTTTTAGAAAATTTGTTGATCTGCACTTCCGGTGTCAGAGAAAAACCTTCAAACATTTTTTTTTTTTTACTTAACATGGAACATATTTCAAACAACATCTGAACGACTCATTTAACATCATTTTGTGAATTTTTCGTACACTTAAGTATATTGTTAAAGTTCAAAGGAAGTGCTGAACTCGAATCCTTAATTCATTATTTTACAGAAACTGTAAGGTCGGATGTGGGAATAAATAATATGTTTCTAGTTTCTTCAACAGCTGCAGTTGCTGATGCATGTTTTTTTTTATTTCAGTTAATAGAAGAAAAAGTTAATAAAAAAATACTAAATTTATTTTTATTTAATACAACCGCATCTAATAAATCTAGGAATATAAAACTCCATACTAGTGATATTTTCGTTTAAGGGACAATTATCGTGTGCGAAAGTTTCAAGCGCAAATAAGTTAGCTTCAATGCCTAAACCTATGGTAATCCCATACAAAACTAAAAAATTTCCCCATTTTCCATACGAAATATCCACTGCGGTGAGAACAGCGCTAATTGTTAGAAATAGAATAAAATTAATAGGTAGAAAGAATCTGAACACGTTAATCATCAACCATTCGTGGACCACTGCAGACACGAAGAAAACCACGAAACCAGCAGCTTTTTTATTCTTTGGAATGATCAGTTCGTAGAATTCTTTGTATATGTATGTATACAACCAATCCTGCACTAAGATATTCCAAGTTCGATGGAATTCTGCAAGCGATTTTGAGTGCCACCATTCCTAAAACAACACTTGATTGAAGTAAAAAAAAATAGTGTTGGTTTTTTACCTTGTAAAACATTCTGTCTCCAAATCGAAGAATTTCGGCAAACGCGTTCTGACATGAGTGCAAAACACCGTAAAATGAAAGTAACATAAATAAAACCCCCGGTAAAATATTACTAAAAATTGGGGCTATAATTTCGCCGAGAGTGAATTGCCTGAGGCATATGTCGTTAAATCTAAGAATCAAGAACTTTTCCACTATAACAGCGTAGAACCACATTGCTGCAAACATTTCTGCTATGTTGTGAAGCACAAACTTCCAACGAATATGTCGAGTTCGAGGATATTCGTCTTTGTAAATTATAGTTGGAGCAAACAGGAAATAAAAAAATTGCCCAAAATTTGGCAATTCTAAATTAGTTTCGGTATGCATTTTGGTACGTAGGACTTGAGGCACGTTTGTGCGAATGAAAGCGTGTTGTTTCATTAAGAGTCGCACCTAAAAATAAAAAATAACATTGTTTGATTGATTGACCGTTGTGACCTAGAGACGTACCTGTTCCATAAAAATGAAAGTGGCAGAACTTTTGCCAAACTTGACAGTGTGTCCTATTGCTTGAAGACCGTACAGAAATAAAAAATAATAAAGGATCGAAATCATGGACCAAATTTTGTCCCATACTTTTTGTCCTAAAACCATCTCTTTTTGAGGGGTAGAGTAGTTTTTGAAAATTACCTTTAGGTTCCAGAGTTAGTCGGACCTTGGCCCAAAATTTAAAACACGTGTAACTTAAACAAGCCAAAATGTTTGAAGTACACCATACTAAAATGGCCAGGTCAAGTTTTTTGAAACCCAACCATATTAAATGAAAAGACAACCGCACTCTGCAAAAAATGCGATGAAAAATAATAACAGAAATAAAGTTGACAAAACTGCTCACTTTCCTGTTTTCGTGTACTCGTCAAAACCGGTGTATGTTAACAAAATAGCGAATATCACAACAAATATGTTATAAATTGTTCTTCCGTCTTCGCTGTTTTCGAACTTGGTGGTAAGCAGTGCGTCTCTTATTTTGAACTCTTTTCTGGGCGATTTTTTTTGGACACCGTTCCTAAAATATTTTTGGATAAATATGTCACTACGATGCTGAAGACTTACTTTATTTCCATTTTGAAACCAAATGTTGTGTTGTCTTTCTGGAAATGACAAAAAACTGTAAAGAGAGCCGGAATTGCAGTAAAGATTGGTAGACTAGTTATTTTAGTGCAAATCGGTTTACCTTTGTTTTGAACAGGTGTTACTAAGAAGAAAATTCAAAAAGTTTAAACTCCTTCGACTCTGAGTTGGAAGTTTGATTCACTTTGTGTGCAGTTTGAGACTAAATGTGTATAATTGGTTCAGTGTCAGTAGGTAGATATGTTGTTGTTCTTAGGCCGACCGGTTTTCGATTTGTTTTTTATATGCAATTATCTCGTATTTTTTTATTTATTTAAAATCAGGTAAAAACACTCTAAACGTTGAGGTTTATTTTTTATTTTGCTATATACATATATTCGAAAAATTGTTGCTGTGATAACAATATTTATGTATTCAATAGGCAGCGGGTTATAATTTTTGATCCAGTTCAACAGTAGCAGTTCATGAACTAGTATTTTTCTAAGTTCTTGTGACTAAGGTACAAATATGCTCTATTTTGAATTTCTCGACGTTGCGATTTTTCGATTTCTCGGTTTTAGATTTTTCCGTGTTTCCTTCAATTTTTTGTATTTGTCGATTTATCAAGATTCTGATATTTCGATTTTTTTATTGTTCAGTTTCTAAATTTTTCAGTTTCTCGAATTATCGATTTTGTTAGTTGTAAATTTTTCAGCTTTTAACTTTTCGTGTTTGCATTTTCGGCCATTTCGATTTCTCAATTTTTCGATTTTTCGACTTCTCGATTTTTTGATTTCTCGATATTTCAATTTTTGAATTTTCAATGTTTCGATTTCCCAAATTTTCGTCATTTAATTTTTTGGATTTTTCTATTTCTTTTTCTTTTTAAGTCCTTAGATTCATCAATTATCCTATTTTCCAATTTTAACGATTTTTTAAATTCTGAATTTTCGATTTCTTGGTTTTTCGATTTTTCGACTCTTCGATGATTCAATTTGTCGATTATTTGATGTTTCGATTTTTCAATTTTTCGATATACAGGGTATTATTGAAAGGTACGTACAAGAAAATTCACAGTTCTTCGCGAAGTTTAAGAAGTCTGAATAACTTATTTTGTGTTATCAAAATTATAAGGGGAAAATTAACCCTTATCAAATCTTTTTAGGCGCCACTGAAGGATAAATAGGTAAAATTAATTTATGTTAGTAAATCCTAGCTTCTGTAACAATAATAAAAAAATGGGATACCTTTTTGTTGCTATAGAAACGGAAGATGATTTTTTTACCAGAGGCGTACAACGAATTTGGCCATTCATTTTAATAATTTTTTTCTCTGAAAGGAGAACACTTTTACCTGCACTTTTTTTTACTTTTAGCACCCATACTTGGAGAGCAATTGCCGATTTTATTTTGTACGTTCCTCTCAATAACACGCTGTATTAATTTTCCAATTTTTTAAATTTTAGAATTTTCAGTTTCATTTTTAATGTTTCTCGACATTTCGACTTTTCGGCTTCTTGGTGTTGGATTTTTCGATTTTCAGTTTTTCGAGTTGTAAATTTTTCGATTTTTCGATGTGTCAATTTTTGAATTTTCAATGTTTCGATTTTTCGGTTTTTCGATTTACCAAATTTTCGTCATTTCATTTTTTGAATTTTTCAATTTGTTTTTCTTTTTCAGTTTTTCGATTCATCAATTATCCGATTTTTCAATTTTTACGATTTTTTAAATTTTGGGCCATTTCGATTTCTCAATTTTTTGATTTTTCGACTTTTCGATTTTTAGATTTCTCGATGCGACAGTTTTTGAATTGTCAATGTTTCGCTTTTTAGGTTTTTCGGTTTTTGGGGACTTCGCCGTTTTGATTTTCCAATTTTTCAATGTTTCGATTTTCCAATTTTTTGTCACTTCAGCTTTGGAATTTTTCGATTTGTTTTTTTTTCAGTTTTTCGATTCATCAGTTATCCAATTTCCACGATTTTTTAAATTTTGGACTTTCGATTTCTTGCTTTTTCGATTTTCCGACCTTTCGATGTTTCAATTTTTCGAGTATTTAATGTTTCGATTTTTCAATTTTTTAGTTCTTGATATTTCAGTTTTTTGATTTTCCAATGTTTCGATTTTTTAAAATTTCACATTTTTCAGTTTTTCAATATTTCGATTTTACGATTTTTTAATGTTTCGATTGCTTGAGATCTCAATTATTCGAATATCAAAATTTTTCGATTTTTAGATTTCTTGATTTCTCAAACTTTTGATGTTTCAATTTCTCGATATTTCGATTTTTGAATTTTCGATTTCACGATATTTCAGTTTTTGAATTTTTCCATGTGTCAATTTCTCGAGTTTTGGACTTTTCGATTTTTAAAATTTTTTAGTTACTCGACTTTTCAGTTTTTCCATTCGTCAATTTTCCGATTTTCCAATTTTTACGATTTTTTTAATTTTGGAGTTTCGATTTCTTGCTTTTTCGATTTTCCGACCTTTCGATGTTTCAATTTTTCGAGTATTTAATATTTCGATTTTTCAATTTTTTAGTTCTTGATATTTCAGTTTTTTGATTTTCCAATGTTTCGATTTTTTAAAATTTCACATTTTTCGGTTTTTCAATATTTCGATTTTACGATTTTTTAATGTTTCGATTGCTTGAGATCTCAATTATTCGAATAACAAAAATTTTCGATTTTTCGATTTCTTGATTTCTCAAACTTGATGTTTCAATTTCTCGATATTTCGCTTTTTGAATTTTCGATTTCACGATATTTCAGTTTTTGAATTTTTCCATGTGTCAATTTCTCGAGTTTTGGACTTTTCGATTTTTAAAATTTTTTAGTTGCTCAACTTTTCAGTTTTTCCATTCGTCAATTTTCCGATTTTCCAATTTTTACGATTTTTTTAATTTTGGAGTTTCGATTTCTTGCTTTTTCGATTTTCCGACCTTTCGATGTTTCAATTTTTCGAGTATTTAATGTTTCGATTTTTCAGTTTTTTAGTTCTTGATATTTCAGTTTTTTGATTTTCCAATGTATCGATTTTTTAAAATTTCACATTTTTCGGTTTTCCAATATTTCGATTTTACGATTTTTTAATGTTTCGATTGCTTGAGATCTCAATTATTCGAATAACAAAAATTTTCGATTTTTAGATTTCTTGATTTCTCAAACTTTTGATGTTTCAATTTCTCGATATTTCGATTTTTGAATTTTCGATTTCACGATATTTCAGTTTTTGAATTTTTCCATGTGTCAATTTCTCGAGTTTTGGACTTTTCGATTTTTAAAATTTTTTAGTTACTCGACTTTTCAGTTTTTCCATTCGTCAATTTTCCGATTTTCCAATTTTTACGATTTTTTTAATTTTGGACTTTCGATTTCTTGCTTTTTCGATTTTCCGACCTTTCGATGTTTAAATTTTTCGAGTATTTAATGTTTCGATTTTTCAATTTTTTAGTTCTTGATATTTCAGTTTTTTGATTTTCCAATGTTTCGATTTTTTAAAATTTCACATTTTTCGGTTTTTCAATATTTCGATTTTACGATTTTTTAATGTTTCGATTGCTTGAGATCTCAATTATTCGAATAACAAAAATTTTCGATTTTTAGATTTCTTGATTTCTCAAACTTTTGATGTTTCAATTTCTCGATATTTTGGTTTTTGAATTTTTCCATGTTTCAGTTTCTCGAGTTTTGGACTTTTCTTGATTTCTCAAACTTTGGATGTTTCGATTTCACGATATTTCAGTTTTTGAATTTTTCCATGTTTCAATTTCTCGAGTTTTGGACTTTTCGATTTTGGAATTTTTTAATTACTCAACTTTTCAGTTTTTCCATTCGTCAATATTCCGATTTTCCAATTTTTGCAATTTTTTAAATTCTGGATTTTCGATTACTTGGTTTTTCGATTTTTCAGTTTTTCTATTTTTAAATTTTAGAATTTTTAATTTTTCGATTTCTTGAAGTTTCGAATTCTCGATTTTTATTATTTCAATGTTTCGATTTTTCAAAAATTTTCACTATTTAGCTTTTCGTGTTTGCAGTTTTGGCCATTTCGATTTCTCAATTTTTTGATTTTTCGACTTTTCGATTTTTAGATTTCTCGATGTTACAGTTTTTGAATTTTCAATGTTTCGCTTTTTAGGTTTTTCGGTTTTTGGGGACTTCGGCGTTTCGATTTTCCAATTTTTCGATGTTTCGATTTTCCATTTTTTTGTCATTTCAGTTTTGGAATTTTTCAATTTGTTTTTCTTTTTCAGTTTTTCGATTTATCAATTATCCGATTATGAAAAAGCAAGAAATCCAAAATTTAAAAGACTTTCGATTTCTTGCTTTTTCGATTTTTCGACTTTTCAATGTTTCAATTTTCCGATTTGTCAGTGCTTCGGGTATTTCAATTTTTCGTATTTTTTTAATCACATTTTTCGAGTTTTTGATTTTTAAATTGTTCGATTTGTCGATTTTTCAAATTTTCGATTCTCGGTTTGTCCAGTTTTTTACTTTTCGGATTTTAGATTTTCCAGTTTTTTGATTTTTCAATTTTTCGTTACTTCACTTTTGGATTTTTCAGTTTTTCGATTCTAAATTTTCCGATTTTCCGGTTTTTTGAGGTTTTTTAAATTTTGGATTTTCGATTTCTCGGTTTTTCGACTTATCAATTTGTTTATTTTATGTTTTTCGATTTTCCGGTTCCTCGATATTTCTATTTTTCAATTTTTGGAAATTTTAAAATTTTGATTGTTCAGTTTTTTGATTTTTCAATGTTCCTATTATTTAAATTATTCATTTTTTAAATTTTCGATCTTTTGATGTTACGATTTCTCGATGTTTCAGTTGTTAGATTTTCGATGTTTCGATTTTTTGAGACTTTTCGGCTTTTCGATTTCCCAATTTTTCGTCGTTTCAGTTTTGAAAATTTTCAATTTCTTGTTTGTTTTTTTCAGTTTTTCGATTCTTCAGTTATCCTAGTTTCCAATTTCCCGGTTTTCGACTTTTCAACTTTTGGATGTTTCAATCGTTCTATTTTTAAATTGAAGATTTTTGAATTTTTAGCTTTTTTATCTTTCGATTGCTCGATTTTCCAATTTTTTGATTTTTCAATTTTTCGTTATTTCACTTTTGAATTTTTCAGTTTCTCGATTTTTCAGTTTTTCGATTCTGAATTTTCCGATTTTCCAGTTTTTCAGATTTTTTAAATTTTGGATTTTCGATTTCTCGGTTTTTCGACAATTTTTTGTATCTCATATTTTT